AGCTGGGATAGAGTCAGGTGCTGATGCAGTAGCCGTTGTATCTCCTTATCAAAGGCATCTAGCTAAGATCAGTTCTTGGACGTTGCAGTCGATGCATTCTCGTACTCACGACACACGAACCGCAGATCTAGCACTCTCCGCATGCCATAACATTGCCGCTCTTTGTGCTGCAAGTATGGATCCAAGGCATATCCAATGATCTGACTCCACAGCTCCACCGGCAAAGCTTCGACACCATTGAGACATGATTGCGGAATCTGCTTCAACCTCTCTTTCGCCTCTTTCGCAAGTCTCGCTTGTTTTTCCGCTCTCTCAATCATGCGAATGCTGTACATCGCGGGATAACCAATGGCGCGAACACCACTCATGAATCCATTGAAGATTGAGATCGGGATCTCGGGGCTGATATAATGCCATTCTTGCAGGAAAACATATAAAGTCCTGGAACCGAATGTTTTGCCATCAGGATACATTGCGGTAAGAGAGCTGCGTTCACCAACCCGCGGGTGCGATGTATGCAGTTAACGAATCCTGGTGCCTGATTTCCTAGCTATCGAACAGGCGTCCGTGCTTGGCTACCCGTCGCTCCTTCTACAACTTCAGAATAAATAGACGGCGGCTCTTCGGTTAACTCGAGAAAAGAATTTCAAGCCGCATTACCATGAACACGATCTTTCTATTAAAGTCTCTCATTCGAAAGCCCCTAAATAACTTGACGCAAGAAGTCTCATCTACCCCAATACCTACATCACAACTCGCAGGCATTGTCGCCCTCCCTACGGAACTATGGAGCATCATCATCGATTACACAGTTCTACAGCTCATGAACGAAGACAAACCTCCATTCGACGAGCTCACACCAGCACTTGATCTGCGACTTGTATGCCGTGAGTCCCTGCTCTGCACAAAGACACTAACGCAGTCGGGCCAACTAATTCCTATACCAGGGATATTCAACAAAGAAGTCCTACACGCTCTCGACACCAATATAACACTCGCACACTTCCCTCGTACATCATCCACCTACTTACTCATTTGGTGGTCTCATACCCAACGCAAATCTGGCCTCCATACTACGCTCTTTACCTCTGCGATTTTGAACACAGCCCATACAACAAACCTCCCTATCGTCTCTCAAGAGCTAGCTGTGCGTCTCCTGAATTGTCTCACAGTAGCCGAGAGTCTGTCCAGATTACAACACGCGCCATTCTATGAATACATTGGAAGCCTGGAAGAACCTCCGCTGTGGGATTTTTATACGGTGGATAAGCTGCACCGACTTTGTCATGCAGCAGCATTGTCAACCTGCTGTCAAGAGTACATGTGCCGACCTGAACAGTTTTACGCTAGATATGGGGAAGAGGGGAGGCTCAAGGCAGACGTGTGTCTAGAGGTTGCGCTGTTGGCGGCTTGTGGATATGAAGGCAAGAGGATTAAGAATGTGATGATTCGGCTTGCGAAGGCAGGGGCGCTAATAGGGCACGAGACAGTGTCCAAGAGGTGAAGACGACGGTTTTGAAGACGAAGAATATACTTTATCATTCTTGGTATCAACTAACTCTCTCACACCAATCAGCCAAGTGGCTCTTCTCTTGATATTGATTTTGGCGTTCCTGCCACTGTGGATCACCCAGATACACGTTCTCATAACTCTTTCCACATCCTCATATCGTTTGACTGGGTGTCGCAGGTGCCTCGGCGTTGGGATGAGGTCGTAGTGGGCTTGGCTTGTCGATTTGTCGCTACTTCTGAATTCTGCACGTTTACCAATCATCTTTGTCGGACTCATCGTCTGTAAACACGTCAGTATACTGCTAATCCAGCAAAAATGATTGTACTTACCACTGTGACTAACTTTTGACTTCCTTGCCGCAAGAGCACTAGCCAGTGCTCCAGCCAAGCCAGCATCTCCAGGTTGAGCTGCGCCACTGGCTCCTCCAGAAGCTCCTCCAGCAGGTTCCGCGCCAGGAACTGCCGCTGCACTGCGGTCCTTTTTCTCTGTATCTGAAACCTTCTTCAATCTCGCTCCTCCTCGAATATCCGCTAACAAGCCGTCTCGCCCTGGCGCTGGTTTGGGCAGAGGCGCGCCGCCGCTCGGTGGGGGCGGTGGGCCAGGTGGAGGTGGTGCCACAGCGCTTCGTGAAGGCATTGGCGGCGGCGGAGGAGGCACAGAGCCAGGAGGCAGGGGCGGTGGGGGCGGTGCGCCTGTGCTTGGCATAGGGGGTGGAGGAGGCGCTGAGCTGTTGGGCATCGGTGGAGGAGGGGGAATCGATCGTCCGGGCATGGGCGGCGGCGGAGGTGGTGTCGGTGCTACATTGCTTGTTGGGGGTAGAGGCGGTGGGACTGGTGCCGCGCTCGAAGGGGGTGCTGGTGTAGGTCGAGATGAAGACGGCGGTAGCGGAGGAGGCGGTGGTATGTTGTGGACAGGCGGTGGTGTCGGGGCTGCCGATGTCTTGGGTGGGAGCGGAGGAGGCGCGGATGGCGTGTCTCTCGCGGGAGGCGGTGGAGGAACTGGCCCTCGGCTTGGGGGTGGTGGAGGTGGGCCCGAGGGTACGCGGTTGCCTGTGAAGGGCGGAGGTACACCGAACTTGCCTCCCACTGGCCTTTCTTCGTCGGGTACGGGTGTTTTGGGCGGGCGCGGCGGCGGTGGAGGACCTGGGTTGGCTGCATTGGATGAGGCTCGCGACCTACCTGGTGGTGCAGGAGGTAGATTGGCGAACTTTCCTGCTTCCGCAAGTGGTGGAGGCGCTCTGAAGACTGGCTTTGGCGGTCCGGGAGACGGTGAAGCTTCGCGCGGTGGTGATGGTGGCGCAGGGCTTCCTGAGGAGTTGCGATTGAGGGCTGCGTCCGTCCTTGTTCTACGCGCTGGCGGAGGCGCGGGCGGAGGTCCTCGCTTGGAGCCACCTGTGTTCTGGGGGCTGAGAGATGCGGCCATGGGAGGCGCGCTCGGTGGGGGAGGCGGAGGCGCTCTGGATTTGCGCTGGTTATTCTCATCCTTGAGCTTCTCCTCCTGCTTCCGCTGCTCGATGTATAGCTTGATGAAATCGGCGTTTTCTTCGATCTGGTCCTCGGTGATGCCCATGGCCAGCAGTTCCTTCAACAGGGGCTGCCATGATGGGTCGGTAGTGTCGATGGCGGAGTTGCGAGCGCTTGTGGCGTTGGAGTGGGTGCTCTGCACAGGCGATGTGACGCTGACGGGTGGAATAATGGACGCTGGCGGCGGGCCAGGTGAGGAAGAATGGCGGTCACGTCCGGTGAGCCTTCCCAGCAGGCCGTGGCCATGGCCTCCGCCCTTTCCGTTGGCTGCGGGCGCGCTGGTGCCGGCGGATGCGCTGAAGGGTTTGTTCTTGGTGTTCTTGTGGGCGTTCTTTTCGCGGTCGTCGAGCTTCTTCTTGAACGTCTTGGCCTCCTTCTCGTCGGCAAAAGACAGACCGGCGAGACAGTCCTCGAGCTCAAAGGTGTGGAAGAAGACGCGGTCCTGGTTGTACGAGAAGGTGTCGTAGATCTCCTGGTCCCAGATGACACCGCGACTTTGGGGCTGCATCCGTCAGTCGTGCATTCTGTGCTGCGGCGTCCCTCGCACCTACCGATATGTCCACCATCTTGAGCCAGAAGGTGTTGCCGACCAGGTCGTTGGCCAGCACGACGGCGCCCTGCAGGCCCGTGTAGGTCCATCGGTGCCGGTCCGGGTAGGCGATGTACAACTTGGCGACGGCGACGGTGTGGATCTTGTTGGCCGACTTGGGCACGGTGCGCTTGACCGTCTGCTTGTCCTCGTCGGAGAGAATCGAAGGCATTGCGGCGTGCTTCGCGACCTCGAGCGCGGAATTGGAGGAGGTTTGGGCGTGCTCGAGTGCTCAGCCGTTGGGCTTGGGCGTGGCTGGTGGGGCGTGCTCCTCACTCCACTATTAGGCAGCACATGGGAAGAGTCGCAGTCGCTTGGTAAGCCAGTCGAGGCTGCGTGCGGATGGCGAGGTGAATGCTGAGGCGCCGCGCGGAGATTGCCACGGTGCTGGTAAGAAGAATGGCGGTGCTGGTGAAGGGGAGACGTCACTTGCGGCTAACCACCCGACTGGGCGGACAAGGGAGAAACCCATCCAACGCTTTCTGCCCCGTCACGTTTGCCGACCCACAGCAACCTCATCCGTAATCCATGGATTCATACAGCGACTTCAAATCATCACGAGATTCCACTTTCACTCTGCTCTTGAAAAATGTAACATTGACCCAAGATTCTTGCCATTGCACTCGCTGAAGGCATCGCGACTTTCTCACGCGACATTGCGTCCGCGAGGCCAATGCGGGACCAGTACCCTGTCAAGATGACGACGTCTCAAGCTCCTTTATGCCTCCGCTTCATGCATACATTTGTATGAGAAGACAGGCACGCACCCAGAGTTCATGGCCTCTAGCGTCAATTGTCTTTGTAATGCTCGGATCCAGCGCCGCTGACGCCGACGTTCCGACTACAAGGCCTCCAGCGAACGATGACACCTTGACGGCTTGGCATCATCCCAGTCGATTCAGGCAACACCACCGGTGACATGGAATAATGTAGATTGCAGCATCACGTCTATTTCTTTACTCGGCACACTTGCAGTCATGGACGATTTGTTTGATGGCTACATTGTGTTGGACGGCATAGGCGACTTCCTTGGGAGCAGCGTTCCTGCCAACGATCCCAAAGCACCTGACGATGTTCCGCAAACGATACACCATGCAGGAGTATCGAAGCAACCCATACGACCAAAAGAAAACAATGTGAACGGATCTGACCAATCGTACGCTTCTCACGCAATGCACAAAACTATACCTAACTCACATCTAGCAGCACCACCGCCTCTAGCGGCGACACACCCGCACCGACAGGGTTACGACAGCGACGCGGGCACACTAAAAGTCGTCTGGGCTGCATCCCGTGCAAGCGACGCAAGATCAAGGTACCGCATCCACTTCTCAGTGCCTCGTCATATCACTAAACTATGTTAGTGTCCAGAGACATGGCCTTCATGCGCGAACTGCGACAAGCGCGGACGTAAGTGTGGCGTTGCGAACTAAGATCAATATCTCACCAACTATTCTAGTGGTTTGCAGATACCCCGATGTATTCAAGCACGCACGGCGTGACTACATCGAGTCGGCAGTGTCAAGTCCTCGTCAAGTTGTTAAGCTTTCCGACACACCTACTATCTACAGCTCAGAAGATATGCAGCTGTTCCATCACTATCTCGTCTCAGCACATCCTTGGATCCCGCACGACTGGGAAGAGCTTTGGGTCACAGACGTTCCGGCAGCGTGCCATAAAGTGAGTGCAACCTCTCGCTCACCGTGCAAGAGACCTAACATCACTGACCACGCAGTACCCATATCTCATGGATGCTATGCTGGCTCTTGCTGGATCTCATCTTGCCGTTCAAGTTGAAAATCCACAGACTGCCCTGGCGGTCCAACATCGACAAAAAGCCATTGTTGGCCTCGAGGACGCCTTCGCTAGTTGGCCCCCGACGGCTGAGGAATCGTATATCATGTTAGCAACTTCTTACCTCCTGTGCTTCCAGTCAAGCTACATAGGTGACGGTTTTCTTGACCACTTTTTGTCCTTGCGGGGATGCTCGTTCCTCTCTCAGCTTATCATAGGCGAAGGCTTTCGCAGCCCTTTCTCCACACAGAAAGGCTTGGACACTATAGCTATGGACACCGCATTTACCAAGTTTCCTGAAGTCGACCAGGAACTTTTGCAAGAGGCTCTACTGTCTTTGAAATCCCTTTCCAGCATAATGGATGGAACTGGTATACATTCCATCGAGAAGGCCATTGTTGGCCAGCTCACCGAAACACTTCGACTCCTGCTGCACTCGGACCTGGAAATCGAAACTGACGAACTTCCAATACCTCGTGACTCGCCGTTGGGTCTCTTTCCGTTCGCTAACCCGATCTTACCACAAGATTTCGGGCTCGTGTTTGACAACATCGACTGGGAGAATGTTACGGATCCTCTTCCTGGCGCTCCATACCCCATCCGGTCTTTTGCAGCTATGATGGTCATCCTCACGATCTTCTCAACCTGGCCACACGAAGCACTCATGCGCATGTTTGACCGTACAAACCAGCTCGGCAACGTCGTCATGGCCCACTTTTGCGCTGTACGATTCATTCTGTCGTCGCTAGCTGCTCCAAAAATGGCTTTGAAAACTCCTACAAGAGCGACTGTTCAATGGAATGCTCTGATCATGGCAGCTATAGACGATGATGAAAGTGGAGAATGGACGAAATATGTGGAATGGCCAAGAAAGATATTACGATGTATGGAGGCTTGTTGTGAGAGACACAAAGGCTTTACCATGGATGACGTGCGCAGTATGCTGTTGAATGATCCTGGTGCTTTCAAAGAAGGAAGAGCACGGAGATACTGACCATCGAGACATCACGAATTGGCACACCAGCCTTGTATTAACCACATCGCTTGATCTGATTGCGCTCCACTCCGACTTTGTATTTACTAAGAAAGACATTCACCCACCTCTTATTTTCCGGTACACGTTCACCCAAGTTCATCAGTGAAACTCTCGATCCGTGCAGTACCCTGCAGGCGCCGCTGCACTACGCCCACCTCTTACAACACTCGTACTATAAATATGGCTCGATCGCGAAGGAATCGCACCAGACCGTATGCTCAAGTGAATAGGAAAACCATACGGTCGGTGCTCGTTGGCTAGTCCCCGCTATCGCTCTCACCTTCTTCGACCGCGACCAAGAAGTACTCCAACTCTCATTCTCCCGCGCAAAGCGAAAGACCCCAACGACTACCCGAAACAGCAACACTCAATATCTTCACCATGCTAGAAGCTCTTGTGATGGCCATCTTGAGGTTTCTGGCTCGCATCCTACTACTATGCATCAACTTCTGGACTTTCATCACCGATCTACCTTCAAGATGCACACGCCTTGTGCTAGCCCTTCTTGCATTCGATCCAATCGCCTGGCTCGGTTCGGCGATAGCGCTTACCCTATTCCTCGCGATTCGCTCAGGTTACCAGATGATTTTAGAGACCGCGAAGCTACTCGCCCTCAGAGAGGAGCTTGAGGCTGAACTCGAGCGTCATGTCGCGCTCAGAACAATCAGATGTGCGTATCTTTTCACTTATATTGGACAAGTAACTGACGTTACACAGTCAATCGGGTGCGCGCGGGTACTTACGACGAAGGAACTGTCGTGCAGGGTATCCACATCATTGCAGCGGACAAGTGGGATATGGTTATCTGCGGAATGGAAATTGCGGGTGGGCGGCGAGATGGGCATTTTTGGGCTCGCATTCGTGGAGCTGATGAGTGGATCAAGTTCGGAAGCCAGCTCGTCATCAACGGCAATGATGTTACCGAAGAGGTGGTAAACTCAGGTGGGCACGTAGATCTCCAGTGGGCAGAGACAGAGACACCACCAGAGTACAGACACCCCATAGACTAAAAATGGGACGTAACGAGGTAGCCAAGTACACAGGACACTTGACGACTATCCAGTCGTCAGCCCAATTCTATTCAAGCAAACCGGTTCTACAATCCTAGCCTTATCATCGCATTTACACCTGCATCCCAATTCCTGTCTCCCATCCCCATCACTATCCTCATACTTCGGTATCTTGATCCCTCTCGCCTTCTCCTGTTCTGTACTCGCAAACGTACAAACCTGCAAGTCATCATGTATATACCCCCAATCACTAAAATGATGCAACTCCTGCGGCTGCAACAGCATAGCAGCAGCCAGCGAATGCACAGGCGCATCACCCCATCTCTCATAGTAGAACCCGCCGTCCCGGTCTAGATAGTCAAAGACAGCACGATACGCATCCCCACGAAAGAAATCCATATCCGCAATCTCGAAATTTGACCAAAAGTGACACATGTTCCACAGATCACCCCGCTCATCCCTATTGCGCAGCGCAGCCAGCATGCGACGAAAAGGCCACGGCATCCAGCTTGCGTCGATCATGGCAGTCCAGAGCGTGGAGGTGGGGAGACGGTATTCGTTCTTGTAGAGGGAGAGTTTGCGGAAGAGGGAGGGGACGGTTTGGCCGCGCTCCCAGAGGGCGGTTGTGTAGCCGTAGCGTTTCTTGTGGCGGGCCATTTCGACAAAGGGGTCGTAGGTTATGGCGCAGGTGAAGGATATGCTGGGTTCGACGCGCCAGTAGTATTTGTAGGGGAGGAGGGCGGGGTGGTCGTAGAAGAAGCTGTGGGGTTGTTGTCAGTGTTGTGCGCTGAGTATGGGAGAGGCTTGGGGTAGACGATGCGACGTACCCAGATTGGAAGCGGCACATGTGGTGGTAGCTCTCTAGTCCTCCGTATTGTATACCCCGGTTCTTCATATCCTGCATGCTCTTCTTCGCGCGGTCTTGGTCGATCCATTCGGGATACCCCCACATCTCCTTGGGTATGACTTCGAACTTGACGTCTGCGCCTTCCCCTACTGCCTTGCCCACTTTCCGCTTGAAGTCCTCGGTCCATTCCTCATCGTTTAGGAAAACCCAGGGATAACCAAAGTTGTCGTTGAACTGTTCCTGCACGCTTCGCACGCTTGAAACTGCACCCTTGACTTCCGAGTTGCGTGCGAGCATCATGAATACGGCGGATTCGCGCGCGGTCGTATTCAGGACGGGGTCCTGACATCCTGTGTAGAAGGGCGCATCGAGGGGCGGCGACGGGCGGGGGACATCGTAGTTGCGTCCGTGAACGTATGCTTCGACGAGCAACAAAGAAGCGATAGCCAAGATCAACTTCCAGTGCGACTGCGCTGTGCGCGATAGTGAGCGTAGCGGATGGCTCCCTGGTCGCGTAAGAAGTTTGGGCATAGCGACGTGCCCATAATGTTTAACAGGAAGTCGAGAGAGGACACCGTGCGAAAACGCGATGAGACTGCCCAGCCCATTCCTTCTTCACGGGTGGCTGCATGAGAGCCATCATAGTTGCTGCGCCCGTCCCCTAAGGCCAGATACGGCCTTATTGCCCGCCTGAACAGGGCCGTTCTAGCCGTTTGATTGATGCATCCCCGGACCCCATGGGCGTTAGCAATTGACGGTCAGAGGAACAAACACACGCTTGGATCTGCCCTTTTACTAGGGCGGGACGAGCATGATAGGGGCATATGGATATCAATGAATGATGTAAATTAGATGTCTGGCACAAAGTCCAGGTGCTGCTCAGTGTGGTACGGTGATGGCAGTACCAACTTAACAGCCAAGGGACCTCGGAAGTAGATGCATGGCTGCCTAGCCATGTCAGGTTAGCCCAGGGCTGTCAGGGAGCCTAAACTCGAAAGAGACATGCATGTGTTTATGTGCAAACGGCGATTGAGACAGCTTTCTTGAATATGTGTGATTGATTACGATGCTCTAGAATGGTATGGGGATAGTGCGGCCTTCTGGGCTTGCGAAGTGCTGTAGCTGCTTGCGACTATGCTTTGCCTTGTGCGACCACATCTATAGGAACATGTCGGAGATCAATGTCTACGGCAACACGGACATTGAGCTGTAGAATGGATGCATTGAAGGTTCGTTTGGTCACTGCATTCGTAAAGCAACATCTTTGTGCCCTCTGAAAGAACGTAAACTACCTAGGTACCTAGGTAGTAGGCAATTCGACACGCAATGGAAACGGGCAACGCGAGTTCAAGAGCGGAGGCTCATCAACATCACCCAGCAAGAAGAGCTTGATAGTTCACCGATCGGTGCGATATTCGTTTTAATCACCAAGAAAAGAAGAATACGAAGCAGGTGTTGCAAATTACTCAAAGGGGCAAAGCATACATACGGAAGCTGAACAGGGTATCGGGTCGTGCAACAGCGATCCACAATGACGTACAACAGGCGGTGGTTCGCAGCAATACGCAACAATCCAAAAGAAGCAGTCCAAAGTGTCACAAACGACACGAGAAGGGTACGGCATCCGAAGCAAACTGAGACATGCGCAAAACGAGACGTGGGTATTCCCAAAAGCAAAGGGTCCTGCAAAACGCAACCAAAACGCCATGAGCCGTGGGGCTTTTCAATCTCTCAGGTATCCCCCAGTGTTTTCCATGCCGCGAGGCTTTCCATTCTTAGTAGGTATAGTGTGGGTATCCGTGGGGACGAGGTATGTCTGTTCGTAGCGGTAAAGGAGTGTAGGTAGGTTGGTGGGTGTAAGGTAGCTTGTGGTACTGGTGCCGGTCCAGCGTACTGGAATGCGTTCATATCCGGCGGTCTAGACGGTCGACGCGCGACTTGAAGCCCTTGACAATCTCTCCAATGCGACGGACTTTGTCGAATTCTACTTGGAGCTCGTCGATTTCGCGGAGGATGGCACGGAAGCGGGCGATTTCAGCGTCGGCCATTTGCATGGCGTTGCCGGCGCGGTCGTACTGTATTTGGGTTGCTGTTTGTGTCTGCTGGGTGAGCTGGCCATTGTCAGTACTACACCACTAACAATCGACACCGTGTGAAGCTATGAACATGACAACTCACATACTGCCAGCGCTGCTGGATGGAGTACATCAGACGGTCAAAGTGGGCGCTGAGCGCCTGCAAACTGGAAGGATCCAGGAGGAGACGGCCTTGGCTGGAGGCGTGAGAGGCAGCGCGCGAGGAATTGGAGCCTTGCTGCGAGGCGGCAATTTGCTGCTGGAGATATCTGCTCTCGCTCGAGTTGAGGCCCAGGTCAGACACTGGGATGGCGGACATGTGCACATAATTATCTTAAGAACATGGTCGATCGGGAAGTCTGCGCCCTGGCTTCCGCGTGTGTGACGGCTGGAGAGGATGCGGGCGGAGCAATTGTTACTAGTGGGCTACGACTGCTGGGAAACGTTACAGCAGGCCTGCGTGGAGGAGGAAGGGGAAATATGCACGCTGATGTGGTTTGGGATCAAAGGGCGAGTGAGATGCGCCAAGCGGCCAGTCCGGCTCTCAAACCCTCTCACCAAAAAGCAAAGGCCTGCGAACGCCCATCTATCCCACACCCTCATCTCCTCTTAGCCGGCTGCAGCCCTATGTACTGCCGTCCCCATGCGCCCGTACGCAGCCGCCCTGAGCTGTCGCCCAAGCTGCACATGCTGATATCCGCGACGCAGCGCGTATCGTACTGGGCGAGCAGGCGGTCAGCGCATTCACCCACTGCGACATGCTGCTGAACCACGACTGCTTGCTTTTGCGCCCGTACGACCATAGCGCTGTGCCGCACTCGAACTTGTCACGCCCATTAAAGCGCGGGATAGTGTCTCCGCACCCACACCCTCTCCACAATCAGCGACAAGGATGCATTGATTGTGCCGCGAGGTTCATGGGTGAATGTTGACCCCACCAGCTCGCATCAGGAGGGGTAGGGTACTCCTGGCAGGCCGTGGACGAACCAGATGCAGAAGGTGACAATGATATGAGAGCGTGACGACCAGGTGCCGCTGGAGGAGCACTCCAAGTATCAAGCCTCCATGTTCCTACTGCCCGTGGTATGGCACGCGGTGCTTCGCCATGGCGTTGGTGGATGTTGTCTTGCCGAGGCTGAATGCATGCCAGGCAATGCTAGCACAATGTCTCCTGAACGCGTACATTCCGTGTCAGATTTTATGCAAACTCTGTGGAGTCAATGTAGCAAACTTAATTCTTCGTTGAGACAGAGTAAGCTGATCTTTGGATTATTCTAGACTCGAACCCAACATATGCACTGTAAAAGAACTCTTTGTATCATCTAATACAGATAGTTGTAACACTCGAAGAAACTACGCAACATACAATACAGCCCTTTCGTGGCTGCATTGTCTGTTAGGAGGCGTCTTCGTATGTTACAACCACTGGCCAAGATGTTATTCGATAGTCTCTAGCTGCGACAGATACTAACGTCGTCGATCATCGTACAGATACAGAGGTATAAAAGGAAAAGAAAAGAAAGGGGGTATATACACCAAGCCGTCCAAACGCTATGCACAAATGAAGGTAAAGAAAAGTACACCCACGCCCTATAAGGCGTAGTTCTCGGCGTGGAGGAAAATCTCATCGCGCCCACTGTCACTCCACACACTCCTTTGGAGTTGCGCAATCGTCTCACTCACACTAACGCGCATGGTGGGGGGTCCGCAAACGAACACACACGTTCTGCGCCCAAAGTTCTTGCTCAGTCCCTTGAGCAGATATGGTATATCCGGACGTCCGTACTCGGTGCTCCAGCCATCCTTCTTCTTGACGGCCGCAGGTAGAAATGCGAAGCGCATGAGGTTCTTTTGGAACTCGGTGGGTGTCGACGGGAAACCGAAGTCGAAACCCTGCCCGCCTTCGGTAGGGTTGTGGGAGATGTCCGGATTAATCGCGCCGGAACCCGAAGAGACGGCTTGACTGATGTCGAGGGACAAGTTGCGTTCTTGACGTCGGGCAGCAAGGCCGCGTGGCGCAGGCGCTATAAGGTCGGGGTTCGAGCTATGTGCTGATTCGGCAGAGTTTCGACCGCTGT